TGACCTCGTCTTGTTGTTTATAGGCCTTTTGCTACACATCCAAATTTATCCAACACCACCTAAGTCTATTAGCTTAATAATCCAGCTATGTATTTAAATGCCAGAAACTGTTCATCGAAAAGGAATTTCATGCATCCACCTTGTTCTTATTTTCAGTCACCCAGATTTTTCACCATCCCATACTCTGGCCATTCCCCGCCCACTTCGGCTCCTCTTTCACAAACCGCATTCGGCCTGATAGAATATCCGATATTCGGTGTGCTTATCCTACTATATTCAATGAGTGCACAATTCGAGAGTCGGTCTAAGCAAATCTTTCCAGGACAACTTCCCAAACAAACACCCATCTAATATACTAGGGCAAACTGCTGTCTGTTCAATCAAATGAAACATCTGTATGCCTGACAATACCACAAATGGTACCAGGAGAACAAAATCAGTTACCTTTTCAGCAGTTTGATCAGGAGAACACTGGAATAACAGCAGTTCTCTGAGCCACAGTGTGGGACTGTGTTCTAAATACCTTGCGTGGTCGATCACAGTAGGATCCCGCTGGGCTTGTTACGACAATTCAAAGCAACCTGCGTGGGAATGAGCGTCCTGCGATGCGTGCATAAAAGCGGTTCAGTAAACGAGGGAAAAGATATCTCAATCTAATGCCCTCGCGCCCCATCTATTCATGTAGTAAGATAACGGATAGTGAGAATACTAGTCCAACTTAATGAGGTTATAAGAAAGCAGGCAGACCACATCGTGACAAGACAGTAATCATACCTGGAAGGAGACCAGTCAAGCGAAATACACAGACCTCTTGAACGGTCTACTGGAAATTCCATGCCCCGAAGTGTTTAAGCGAAAAGAAGGCAAAAATGTGGAATCATCGACAAAATTGATTTTAATGTCAAAGACGTAACACGACCAAAGCAAAAAGAGAATGAAATCAATCAATATAATGAAGAAGGAGCATTGGCCGCATATCCCAAAGGTTAGCATTCAGTCATTCAGAGGCATGTGGTCACGTGTGTGCGTGCGAGTGAACGTACATAAGCATACATATTAGCGCATATCGATCCGCGGATCGACAAGTTTCGCAACTCAGTTGTCGGGACAATTTTGAGTAAAAACATAACAAAAATAGAAAACAAAACAGGAAACAAAGCAAAAAACATTTCTAACACCCATCACAAACGTGCGGATCGGAAATCCGATTTGAACCGGATGAGAGTACTGCAACCACAGGGAGATGGAAACCAACTGACAAACGCTGTGATTAGAAAAACGGCTTGCAGAGTCCCGTCTGAAGGGGCGGAAAATAAGGATAGTGTCCATCGCGAGTGGAAAAGTGGGTACATGAACAAGAGTATGCACGGAATAGTTTAATGGAGAGGGGTAAGAAGAAAATAGCAAATTTTATTGAATCGGACATGAAAGTGTCTGGGTGGAGACAGAAACCGTGAAATTTATTTCTTGGTCAAATTAGAGTGCTAACCGCCGACATGTGGGGGGGGGATGCGTGGTTGGGGGTCAGGAATCAGAAAAGACCGGAAACCTCCAAATCGAAAAATGAAACACAACACGCTCAGCTGGCATGCGCGTAGATTATTCTTTAAAGCGCATCGACGCGAATGAGCACCGGCTTACCAGTTTTCTCATCCAGTTCCAAAACATTCGTGCCGCGAATTTCGACTCCAGCAAGGCAGTCCAAATTCTACAGTTAATTTGCGTGTGAGAAAACAAAAAAAAATTCGCTTCAGGATATGTTATAACACCGGGACCACGAAATTGGGATTAAACAACGGAATGAACTGAACAATTGACGTCTTTCGGACGTGAACACACAAAAGGCACAAAACGACGAAAATTGTCACCGTGAGATTGGTTGACAACCTGATATCGCATCTTCTGAATTACTCAAACAGAATTTCTGAGGAACAATAAAGAGACTGACGAGCCGCCTGAAGCATCCAAGATAGAGTGCATGAATTATCAACAGGACTCCCGAATGCGCGGTCACCTGCTCGAGCAACGTGGTTGTGGTCTCGTCGTCCGAGTGACAGGACATCGAGGATCGATGGATTTCAAAATCCATATACCGACCTGCGGGTTATACTCCTCCGTTAAACGCCCTAACTTGAGCGATCAGGTAGTAGAGCATCTCACAACGTTCCCATTGGCGAGTAAAACGCTAGAGACTTTAAAGCGTACAGCTCTCATTCATTCCTGTTTCAATTATACACAGTACTACCACCGATTGAGTCACGTTGTGTTTAGGCAATAAATCATGGGATTTCGAATGTTTAAACAGTTCTGCAAAGAATATAATGAGAACACAAAATGGGCCAAAAAGCTCGTTTTCATTGTGCCTTAATCATGCTGTTACAACACAATAACTAGTAATGAATAAGGATGTACTAGATAAAAGGGAAAGTGATTAAAGTATTCAACAGTTTGTACCATAATTGGTCCTCAATTATCACTTGCGCGGATGTTTCACAACAGGTCACTAGTCGGCAATTCGGCCAAGAGAGCTTGAGCGCTAGCACAAATTGTTTTCGAGCACGCAGAGTGGGGTTGTGTAGACGGACACTAACTGTCTTCGCTGTGGCTAGAATGCGAAACTGCACGTGTCTAGACCATCCCGTTTTAACTCTGCACAAGGGTCAGAACGTTTCGGTCAAGTTTAGGATGTGATTAGTCCTTTTCCACTTGATAATAACATATCAGGACATTACTGCGTGATTAAGAGAAATAGTTTTATCTCTAAGGAAACGCCACCTTAATCAGGGTAGTGAAAAAGTAATTTGATTTCGTACTAGGATCCAACATTTTTGTGCAAACAGAAACAGCAGAATCGTATTTTGCACTTCCGAAATCCGCATTGACCGTAAACTACAAATAAGTTTATAGTGTTTCAGCCTGTCTGATGATATAGAAACAATAGGACATGAGTACCAATTTCATGACGTGGGCCCCAATATTTGGCCCAGTGAGCAAAACAAGTCTGGTCGGACACTCGCTTGTGTGCATCAGAGACCGCAATCGATGGATGTCGGTAACACTAGCACTATTTACGTCCGATAAAAGACATCTGTTTGAATGGCCTAGCCTCATTGGTCACGTCGAATTATTTAGTTTATTAGCGATCACATGATGATACTAATGGTTACGTGTAATGAAAATACCCCCGAACTGAGATAAGACCGTAGGTTGGAAACCATTTTCCGATAATCATGACAATGACCGCACACGATCGGAGAAGAACATGGAACAAATCAACCCAAATGGGGGCAAATTAATTAGTTGACAAGTTGAAACAAAGGACAGGTGATTTATAAGATAATACTGAAATATATTGCACTATAGTGTTGTTTGGAAAGTGGCTTCTGTGGATGGACGTGTGTGCGCGTGCGCGCGTTATGACGACATGGCGAACAAGTCCATTTGTCGATGTGTACATACGTATACAGGTATACGTATAATGTTACATGATTGAGATCTAAACAGACACACGCACACACACAGATAGATAGATAGATAGATAGATACACTGAACACCAAGGGATAGCAATATCCGTCAAACTGTTTACTAATGCTTATTGTGAATAGGCATTGCGTGTCACTCTAGAATCCGGTAGTCCAAATTACCGAAAAGCGAAACGAAAATATTCCTTGTGTCGGTGAGACTTTACAAACATCCGGATGTGTGCATTGATCTTGTATGTGGGTTTCATTCCTTGAAGGAGCACGTTAGATCTCCACTCTTTTTACACTATGTTCGTTGTCGATCGTGTGACTCGAAGATAAGAATTTTGGCAACCAAACATAAAGTGTGCGGTTATAGTCCTGACAGAGACTTAAGTTGCTCATAAGTCCTAACGGGTACGAAACAGCTGACCGATGCCATTTATCGGTCAGTACACAGAACCAGATGCAAATTGTGAAATAACAAAACGAAACGAGTACACCGTAAGCAGCTGGATGACGAACATACTCAGGGTGAAATTCATTTATCCCCGACGTGGAAAAAATGGATCTTGTTTCAAAGCAATCTATGGTAGCAGTTCCCATCCAATCCAAGTCAAATCTCCGGATAACAACTATTGACTAATCGATCGTGACACCTGACTGATCTTTTTCTCCAATACAGATCGATATTTCAAAATATCTTTGGTGAAAAAATGGCTTATTTGCATCGAGTATTTAGCGCTTCTTGTCCGATGTGTGTACGTAGAGGGAGTAAATTTGAGTAAAGTATGATGAAATGGTAGTGGTGGTGCCAGTAGTGGAATTTGAACTGTCGACCTCCGAGTCAATCTAACGGTGACCTTAATCATTTGACCGCAGTCAACCATTAACTGACTCGATAAAAGAAGGATTTAATCTTGTCAATGCAATTCTAACGACTGGTTTAGAAAATTAGGTAAACTCAAAGAAGAGAACATGCAGTTGGTCAAGACTGACCCGAAGACCTCATGAAAAGAGGATCCAAACAACAATCTAGCCACACTACGACCATGACATTCATCGCGTGTTCTCACAATCAGACATGCTTCAGTGTAAAGATACACTAGCTTTCCAATTTCCCGCGGCAGTTTGGTCGCCCATTTGAAAGGAGTAGAGAAAAGGTGTAGAAAAAAAGGGAACAGTACCAAGGTGAAAACGGACATTCTAGTGGACTAAGGCTGAGAACTTGAGCATATATATATATATATATATACAATGGGGTTAGCTCAAAGTATCGCAATAAATGAAGTAGTGATTGAGGTATGAGCTCTGGGGGGAGTCACAGTTTCGCCCTTGAAAGAGAAGACTACAACTGCATTTGGTTCAGGACCAAGATTTACTTACTTCACCTCCATAGGTTACCAATGGGGAGATCTCCAAGATTGCCTCCGTAGTAGCCCCGTTTGCTTCTCCCACAGCGTGCGTATCTGAATTGACGTCAAAAAACACAGCACCGGCATCCCGCGCCAACTTCGCATGATAGGATAGGTAGTCCGCTCGGGAAGTTTTCGGACAATCCACCTCCGCATCTGGTCCGTTTTTCAGCGGGGAAAATCGCTCTTTTCGGAGCACCTCCCAAATGGCAAATCGTCTGAATCGATTAGAGTGGAAGAGAAATCGTTGAATGCAGAGACAGACTACGATTGGGTTTTCCAGTTATTTTACTTGTTCCGATTGCAAGCAAAAAGAAACTATAAATCCATGATACCCGTGTTGAAAATTAAGTTTTACCCTGAGAACAGCATAAACGCATACACCTCAGAATATTCACCAGAACCCATTGGCACAAGTAACTGAATGTTACTTCGGACTGGAGAAAGTCGTTAAATTATGGAATTTTCACCCATAATAATTGAGAACAGAACTTGTCCTCAACTGAATTTCAAATTAATCCATCCTTCTTTGGCAGTTGGAAGCGTTCACATTCCTATGAGTTAGCTCAGTGTTGAAATTTTATTAAAGCATGGTTATATTCAAACGAGTTGAGGAGGAGATAACATCACTATTGACGGGTATCCAACCTATCAGTGAGGCTTCAACTTTTTCGTTTAGTACGATTCCTACACTCAGTGAGCTGGCTTTATCGTCCCCTGGTGTATGAAGGAAGCACCTCGAAGAGAGACCCGGCACACTCAGGTAGCTTATAATACTAGGATCCTGAATTCGTGTCTCCAATACACACAGACATCAATCCCCAAAGATTTCGTTGTACGCGCAAGACAAGCTTGCTGGCTCATCTGCATCAGAGTCCTCACGTTGAAGACCCCCAAATTGAGAGGTTGACGAGGATTCAAAACCTGAACTTTATTTACAGACAACCTATTGACAGTGTTATTTGACAACGACCTTTGACGAGTGACGAACAAGTTGTCCCATGAGATGTTACGGATCGGAAGGAAGGGCAAAGGGACAGGGCTGGGTATAGAAGACGAAGAGTTAAACAAAGGTTGGGACGTCTGAGCAATAACCCATTTATCATTACCTACCCCGCTCGATGCAATGGGCAGCGCGGTCCCGATTATCCGGCGCGACGACCGATGCAGTATGAAATCACTCAGTTTGTGTTCATTGAAGCTTTATAGACGGGTACTGCCAGGGTGTCCAGCCACTAAGCAGGAGAACGATTAGGGTTCTCAGCCATAGCCTTTAGTTCTGAGAACCTAACCGCAAGGCAGCGGTTCAGGCAGATTGGAGGCCCATCAACTTGGATCAAATACTCCTCCGACAGCTTTTACTGGCTGAGAAGCAAACTCAAGTCGAACTCCAACCTGGAGGATCAGGAGACTGGACTTTGTCTGACCTCTACCCAATGACCTTCCAGGGATGCTAAGATCTTTGGCTCAACAAAAGCCATCCTGTGTAGCTCGTTGGGTCACAGAGGTGCACGAGCCATCACACCACATCAACGTGCAGTCTTATCGCGGTGGAAAAGACAGAACCGCTTTTTCACTATGTTTCGCATTATTGTAGTTACTGATTATGAATGACCATCAACAAACTTCATCTCTAAGCACTATACTGTTTGCCCGGCAAATCAAACGTTCGAGAAGCAATAAACTCGTTTCACTCTGTTTCAGCCTTATAAATTATGTCTACATGTCACCTTACCCGGATTAAACAAACGAATTCGCAAAAATTAACCTTGTCCCACGGAGCTTTACTCTTGGTTTTGATCTTCAAGCAGAGAACGACAAGATAGAGTATTTGCCAGTGGTGAGGTGTTTATGTAATACCGATCCAAAAGGGAATTGGTCGCCCCAAGAACAGAGAAAAACGCGACAAGACATTTAATTACCACAAATTTCAGTAGCGTAATTCCACGGTTTAAAGGAAATCGAGCTCAAAACTCCACAAGCATAACAAGGGGCATATCACTACAAAGTAAGTGAGGCGAATAAAAACTACATATTCAATTACGATATATTCACGCCGTTAGCCTCAACAAATATTGCGTACTGAGTACATCAATCCTGAGACATTTATATGACAATGATTATCTCGTTCAACGTAGCGCCCATCGTTATCTAGTCAAAACTACATTACCTGACTATTCATAGCAAATCAGTTCACAGTTGTTAATCTGGAATTTGGCTGATGTAACTTCGTGCCTGAAATCAGGCTTGGTGAACGACGATTACGAAAGAATATCGTCTGGAATATCGTTTTGTACAATGAAAGACAGGGATTATTTTTATGATCTGCAGCTTATGTCTATCAGGAACTTGCTAAAGTGACTGCTTTTCTAATCCCCGATAGAGCGGTAAGCGACGGTTTTTCAGTTGTGTTGGTCTAACTACAAGCGAATAACGAACAAGTATATTCGGGATCGATGTGGAAGTAGATCAAAATGGGGACTTTCAAACATCCGCATCAATGTATGGAAAGATGATCATAGGGGCTAGCACCGAGAAGTAAATATAGTTTTTTTCAAACTACCCGCAATTCGTAGCTATTCTTCTTTAACCCATATGCGTGTGATCAATGCTGTTAACAGTGAATTAATTGCTGCTGTTTTTCGTCTCTTTGTTTTTGGCTGTTCAACCTGATAAATCAGCAAATGAAAATGCATCACGTGGTCATAATCAACTACGGGCATTTTGGTTGACTAGTTATGAATGAAGAACATGATGTGACCCTTACATGGAAGCTCATGGAAAATAATACGCCTCTGACAAACTACCATTTTACTGTTTAGAAAGGCATTTGGGGCAGTAAATAAAGAAAAAAAAACGTACTCAGCTTGGGGGAACACGTCGAAGATAAACTGTTCGAGTTTCACACCATTGGGGGTGGATGGGGTCACTATCTCACCGGTGACCATGTCCACATGGGTGACCTTCTTTTTGGCCACATGATGCCTCATCTGGTTCGACATCTCCGGTTGACTAACTCGCTCGAGAAACAGGCGGGTGAAAAAATGCACACAAATATTTCCGTGGGAATACAGCAAACGCTGTTCTTGTACCGAGCTGGGACCGTTTCTGCCTGAATGGGAAAGATTGACTGAGTTAGAAGTGCTGTTCACCCGACGAAGCGCAGCAGTCTCCGGAGATATTTCGCTGTACTCAACCACCTTTAATTAAAAAATATCAAGCAAGGAAATAAAATGAAACACAAATTAGATCACAGGCAACAATAACCAAGCGGTTAAAAAATAGGGGAGAGGGAGAAAAACGAACACTCGGTCAACTAGCTGCATGGACAGATAAACAGTAAGCAGCATTAGATAGTGACGCGCCGGATTCGGAAGTTCCGAAGTGAGAACAAGTTGAACTCGTAGTTGAAAACATTTGACCGGGAAAAACGTAATTACAGTCAAGATTTAGAGTATGAGATTGTGAGGATGGAGAAAAACGACGTGGTAAATCGCACAGAGCATCGCCCACAACATTCAAACTAATGGTGCAAAATATGGTGATCCTGCGTTGCTACGCATTTTCCTTCACTGCCTCCGAAAGCCCCATCGTGGTCAGGAATTGGTGTCATGGGTTTTCGTTGGTCACTTTTGCCTTGCACCACGCAAAATGACCCCATACGACCAACCGACTCGAATAGCTTCTTCTGAGGAAACCCTACTCAATGCCATAAAGTGGTACTTCCCCACTTAAGTGACAAAACGAAAAACAAATGTGCGGGGCAATAATCGGATCTTTGAACCGCAGGCAGTTAACCCACCGGAGTTGACAAAAACTCTGATTCTAAAAACAAACAAACAAGAGGCGTACGAACCACATGCACATATCCCTGGTTACCAACTTCTTCGAGCATTGAGGTACATTTGGCACTAAGGACGTCTAACCCCGTCCAAAGGGTTCAGGACTCGATTAACTGGACACCGTACCCCACGATCCTGCACTTTTCGCACACCGCCCGCTGACTTGGTGGTCAGGCATTAGTTAACCGAAGGATCCGGTTGTGAATCACCAATGAACTTCACCTGCCTTGATCTGGGCAACCTAGCGGAATACCTACCACGAGCAAATCATGAACTGACTTCTTTATTATGAAGATTATTGAACCACGATTTGTTTGGTATAGTCCGGACTCAGATATGTGAAATTTAACCTAGTAACAATATTATTCTTTGCATCACTGTGCTTTACCATACGTCAGTTTAGATGAGTCCACAGAGAGAATAACAAAGCTTGATGAAGACTATGAAGTTTTATGGGTATATTGTACAAGAAATGCCCTCAACATCATCCGTCTTTCCTTTGAATGCCAATAGTTGCGTAGTCCGGGGCAAGTATGACGGGGTAAGCGGGTAAGTGACACCGACATGAGCCCTCGTGTATTTAATAAGCTCTGAAGGAAAAGTCACCATTACACCGAATTCCGATGAGGAAGCTTCGTCAGTCCAAGCGAGTATTGCGAATGGCTAGCAGTCGCCTATTGCATCCTGCTTTGCTTGCATTTACCGCTCCAAAGAAGAGAAAATCATCTACGGATTAACGGGTAACATGGATATACGGCAGGAAGAAATGCGAAGAGAGACTGGGCATAGGTGTTGCTCGTCTCCCAAGCTGTGGTCCGAAAGTTTCTGTGACTGGTTTGTTTTTGACATTGACAGATATGGCAGTGAACCGATAACAATTATCTTTTTGGTTTTCATTTTTATCAGGTTCAAATGCTTGAAGAGATGTTCATGTTCAGTTAACTGTAGACGTACACATGCGTACTCCGTGTTGGTCAAAGTGGTTTAATTTCTTTTTCCTATGTCAAATCAAGCCCAGTCCTTATTCATACTACACATCTGTGTACTCTACATACATCGTGACCTTAGCAGAAATTATTTAAAATCACTGTACAGTATTTCGGTCTAAGATAAAGACGATTACGGCCTGTAGTCCCAGTAAAACCAAGTTTGAACTGCGAAGAAGAAGTGTGCTTTGGTACTCACTTTCCAGTAGTCTTGTAAGAGCTAAATTGCCATTTAACTGGTGCTAGCTCAACAGAATGGTCGATGCCCTTTTGCAAGCTGGACAGGTTTCTTTTAAAGACGTCATATCAGACATTTGATCCAATTCAGTGAATAGACATGTACCTTCACATACCTTACACCATCTTGTCATGGAATTTGAACATCAATCACCCTTGACCTCGCTTAGTCATTCTATTGAGCGGTTTGCCAAGGTGTGGCAGCCGATTTATGTCCGGGCCCATTGTAGTCACACGTGAAAGTTGAGTAGTCAATGGAGACGCAAGAGGTGGAATTGGCTCTAAGAGACACGTTAGTCTACCAGCTCAGAGGTGTTTTTGATGAATATACTAATTAAACCAAACCCTGCTCCATCCACGGAAGAGGTTCTTGTTGGGCGTTTATGGAGTGCAGATATAAACAGAACAGTGAAGCCGAAAAGTTACAATATCTGGCAGGTGGTAAATTATAATAATTTTAATCGATCAATGAGTTTTCTTTGTTCTGTGCTTTTGTACTTGCTGATATTGAAGGCTAAGAAGTCGTAAACTAAGCGCCATCAAAGGTAAAAGTGTTTCTTCAAGACTGGTGGGAACCTTTACCTGCACTCACATTCTGTGATGATTAGCTGGGAAGACATGAGAGCTTGATTGCTGTTGGTGTTTGTGTTAGAGAGATCACATCACGAATAGCGAAACCTAGGGCAGCTTTGGTAACCTGCGACACTTGTGGCACCGCCGTGATATCAGACCGTCTCTTAAGGGAAGGATGTAAATTGCCCAGTTTGTAGTGTTCTGCTTTGCGGTTAAGAGGCCTGACCTCTCCAAGCGGAAGATGCAAATAAACTTTCTATATTCGACCACGGATGTCT